AATGTTCATTCCCGCGACCAGGATCGACGCATTGCTCTTAACTCATTGGGGTATAGATAATATTCTAAGTCTGTCCGGCGTCATGACTGCTCTTCAGTCTACAGATTCCAGTGATTCTCTGACATGTCTACTAACACCACCTCCCCTTGGGAATCCAACTATCTCTGGAAAGTTGGCACCTGTCCTGCCTGAGGAGGCAGCAAATTCTTCTTTGGTTGTCAGCCTTCCCGCCCAAGTTGGCCGGTTGCTGAGTGAGCTGAAGTCTCCCGGTCGTCAACATGTTTGTCTTGAAGAGTTAACTCGTGGTGCAAAGTTTCAAGCAACGGCCAGGCCAATTCCCCTCTATCACAAAGTAAACTTTTATGTTTCAATATTGTATTTTCTTTTGTAAATATATATTGTATATTCTTTATAGAAATTTGTCGTATACCCGCGTATGTTAATAAAAATAGGAATATTACCGAGCCCGAGTAACTTTCAGAAGACATAGTATATGATTTAAAAAAAATTTAAAGCCAGTTGAATCCAGAATAAACATTATATCTTCATAAGACTGACTATAATGCTAGTTCATGCGACTTGAACGACTAGCTCATTTTACAATATGCCCTTCACCCTACTTTATACTTAATATGTAAATTTTTGGCATATTTTAGCTATTCATTATTTTATACTAAACTCTAGTTTACTATATAGTTGGAAGGATTTTGAATGAAATTACCATTTTACGTTCAGTTGCTTTCTATTCCTCTTGTGATTTACCTGTGCCCTCCGCCTATTTAGACTTTGGGAACTCATTAGAATCACAATTTCGAGTAAACTCAAATGCTGTCTAATATGGTTTCTTAATGATGCACTTTTGGCTTATTATTCAATATTTTGGGCTTATTTTTGTATGATTTATTTCCTATTTCACATATTTTTTAGTTGATTCTGTCTCATCTACCTCTCCTATTCTCCTTGCTATATTCTATATCGTAAGATCGGCTAGTTCAAATAGCTGGTTTGTTTAATTTGTATACTTCGTTCCATTATTTGCATAATTTTCTGTTCATGACTGACAAAATTCCTTTTATTAGAGAATATTTTTGACAAATATAGCTTTTTTAAAGCTAGCTTTGCTGATTCCTGTTATGTGCATTCTGAACAGTGAAAGTTTATATCGTATATTTATGAGCTAATCTAGTCAGATTCGTTTATGTAGATATTTATTTTACCGTCTAGTTTGCTTAGTTTCATTCAAAAAGAAATGCAATGCTTATAAGACACATGTTCTTGCAAACTTTACATGCGGCTACGAAGCATGCTCATTGAAAATAACTTACATTGTGTTCCTTAAAAGTTTTCACTGTCATCGTTTTAGGTAAAAGTTAAGATTGAAGAGTTCA